GTTAGTTTAAGAGTACAACAGATTTTTAACTTTGTTTTTTAATTTGTGTGAAGGTTGTTAAAATGACACTCTTTTAAAAACAAAGAGAATATTCACTAAAAGAAACCTAATTTTTTCATACCAAATTGTTTATGGTTGTTATCCATATTCACCATGTGACACAATGCAAAGTCATACCTTTATTTTATTTTATTTTTTTGATAAAAAAAGTCATACCTTTATTTCCCAAAGAAAATAATGAAGATAGAGAAAGATCGAAGAAGAAGACACATGCAGCAAAATGCATGTATGTACAACTTCGGTCAAACCTTTTTCGCTAGATGGAAAACCCGAAAATGTGTGTACTAAGGATCTGGTGACTCGTTTGAGAAAACTCAAGAGGGTGAGTCAGCTAGTAATAACGTCTGCCACCATCCACACGCCACTTTCCTCAGTCTCCGAACTAGACTTATTATGAATGTTCTTCTCATGTGTTGTGTCGAGTCAGTCTCTAAAAAAAACCAACGATCAGTTGCCTTGACCGAGACATTGTGCTAGGTGTTGTGTTATTTGAAACTATAGTTGTGGTGTTTGTCGACTACATTTCGATGAATTCTTTCAGAATAATCATGACAATTAACAATTGATAATTTCAGATGGCGATCAATCATATACTAATTTCAAAATTATGTGGATGTTTTTCCCATCTTTTGGAGGTACATGAAGTTTGACATTCCATTCTTATCGATTCACATCATCTTTTAGATGAAATTTTTGCATTTAACGAATGTGTATTACTTGAACCGAATTTCGAAAAAAATCAAATTTTTGTGTGCAGATAACCATAAATCATCTTAATGGGTTATTAATACTCATACAAGCGATTTTTTTTATGTTATATATACAATGCTACCACATGTTGTGTTTTCGATTTCCTCATATAACACTTTCACCTCTATTTCGTTAGTCAAAATGGTACCACGCTTTAGATCCATTAAAAGCTCCGGTGAGTGGGCTACTCGACATCTACACTCATCTTTGGAGAATAGTCGTGGGGTAAAAACCCGACAACCCCGGCTATAAAAAAAAAAAAAAACAAGTGAGC